ACACACACACACCCGTGGCGGGTGGCCATACCACAATCCCTTCTCCTCTATTCTCCTCTTGGGATTTTGGGCATACACACACGCCTAGTGTGAGTTTCAAGCTGCTGGGTTTGGGACTCGAACCACAGTCAACCATGTAGAGTCCAGGGACATAACTATTACATCACCTGCTGGTCCCTGTCATGCCTGATTCTAAGTGCTTTATATACATTATCTCTTAGCTCTCGTAACAAGCCTATGAGATAAGTAGTCTAAATTTGATAGATGAGGAAACTGAGGCACTGAGAGATGAAGTAATCTAGTTATAGCTATAAATAAGATTTTTATATTCAAAGTGAAGTAATATAGATTCAGACTTGATATGTTTTTAATTTTTTTTAAAGAATTATTTTTATTGGGGTCAGCAAATGGCATGGTGGCTAAAGGCACTGGACTCCCACATGGCCAACTGCGGTTCGAGTCCTGGACCTGGTAGCTTGCTTTCTTGTTTTCTCTCTCACTCTGTCCCTCTCTGATCAAATGAAAAGAAAGAAAGTAAAATAAAAACAATTATTTATTTAACTTTATTTATTTTAATTTGTCCAGAGAGGGATAGAGTGAGAGAGAGAGAGAGAAAGCAAGCCGTCAGGTCCAAAACTCGAACCATGGTCAGTCATGTGGGAGTCCAGTGCCCTTAACCACCATGCTACCTGCTGGCCCCTGTTTTTTTTTTTCTCTTTTGTCAGTGGGCACATGTGCTCACCAGAGAAGGAGGGAGAGAGAGAGAGAGAAAGAGACCATGGGGCACGGTTGTCCTACAATCTTTTTTCTTCCATTTCTACATCCTTTCGTGATTTGGGGGAACCCATGCACTTGTGCCCAGAGTGCTTTTTAAGCCACTGGGGCCAAGAATTGAACCACAGCCAGCCATGTGGGATCCAGCTTTCTATGCATTGTGCTTAGTTACTGTGCTATGGGGCTGGCTCCAGACTTAAAACTCTTAACTACTCAGTTTCCTGAGATTATGAGGAGAAAAACACAAAGATAATAAATGTAAAATCGTTTTGCAAGTAGTAAACTATCATACATACATAAAGGACTGTTTTCATTATTGTTTCCTTCACATTATTCAGATGACATTTCTACTCAGCAGG